CGGCGGCTCAGCAAAGTCAACGAGGCCTTTGAGACCCTCAAGCGCTGCACCTCCACCAACCCCAACCAGCGGCTGCCCAAGGTGGAGATCCTGCGCAACGCCATCCGCTACATCGAGAGCCTGCAGGCGCTGCTGCGGGAGCAGGAGGACACTTACTACCCGGTGCTGGAGCACTACAGCGGGGAATCGGACGCCTCCAGCCCTCGCTCCAACTGCTCCGATGGCATGGTGAGTGCCCCAGGGAGGACACCCTGCCGTCGGGGCGCCCCGACACTGTTGGCCCAAACCTACACGGGGCGAGTCACCTCCTCCTGCCTTTCCTGTAGCACTTGCCTTCCATTCCCAGGCAGAAGACAAAAAGTCCTTTCTTGTATCTTGAGCTCAAACACCAAAGGGAGGTGGGGTCCCTGCATGCCAGTATCTCTGGGAAAGAAGAGAAATCTCTTACACACTTTTTTCCCTGGGATGAGAAGTTAGGCAGGTTCCACCATGTCCTGGGAGAGCCAGGGGAGAGCTGCTTGGGGAACACTTTGGGAAGCTGCCTGGGGTGGGTACGTGGGGACATGGCAAGGTCCGAGTCCTGCCCGTGCACCCATAGCTCCTGGGGCATCACTGTAACATCTCTCTATCATTACCTTTGAATCCTCTAAGGACAGCAGAGAAGGAGGTCCCCCTTGGTGATGGTAATTACAGGGGAACTGATAAGGGTCTGGGGTTTTGTTCTGCTGTACATCATGGTAACAGGAGAGGAGGATCTAGGCAAAAGGAGTTGTTTTTCTTGACCCTTAAAAAGAGCCTCCATTTCTCCTTGCACTTCAACCCCTCCATAGGCATTTACCAGCCATAGGAAGGAGACCCTAGACTTTCAGTCCCGTGTGTATGTTATGGGGAGGGAGGAGCAGGGTGGGTCAGAGGATCTCTCATCACCACAGCTTTTCACTGGGACTGCAGGCTCACACTCTGGTCTGACTCTGGGGTGGTGGGACATGGTGACTGGAGTCCAGGACAGCTGTCTGTGATGGGATAGCAACAGGACCTTCGAACCTGAGGGTTTTTTGTGTGCTGGGGTGGGGATCGTTATTACTGAGTTGAATATCTGTGATGATGAGTTGTAGCTGGCAGACGAGTAATTTCGTTGTGGATTAAAGTATTGGACACAAATACATTAGTCAATGTTTTGGGGCTTTTTCTGTACAAATAGAAAGATAAACTAAAGGAAATAACAAGGGACAAAGTTAGACTAGAAGCTTTTTAAGAAGAACTCATGTTTGGAAAAACCTTAAAAAATTTAACCAAAAAAAGACTCATTACAATCTTGGTCTCCCTGTTGTAAATTGGAGATATGTGTAGGGCAATAACTGATCAGAATGCTGGAAAACCTTATCTCTTGTGTAAAGCTCCAGCATTTGAAAAAACAATGGTAATTTTCCTTTGGAGCAGCTGTGCCACATAAAATATTCCGGGATTGAATCCCCTTCTAGCCAAGTTAAGCTCGTTGAACGAGGCAGAAACTGCAACTTGATGGCATTTCAGCCAGGACTGGAACAATGGCACAGAGTAGGGACTGAAAAACAAAAGTGGGTGTTTCCTGGCATTCCATTAAACGCTGTTCCCAGCCAGTGACCTCGCTGCGACTCTCTCCTTTGCAGATGGAGTACAGTGGCCCTCCCTGCAGCTCTCGCAGAAGGAGCAGCTACGACAGCAGCTACTACACGGAGTCGCCCAGCGGTGAGTAGGGGCCGTGGGTCCTGCAGACAGGCAGCCAAGGAGGGCAGTGCCCTGGGCCACCTCTGTCCCTGCTGCCTCGCGGGCCCGCCGGGCGTGGAGAGGAACCTGCCTTGTCAGCCAGCGGGCTGCTGAAGCTGGACAGCCTCCCCATGTATTTGCAAATAACGGGGATATGTTATAGCTGCATTTCCCATTTTGCAAATAGAACATCTGGATAAAAATATATTCCTCTCTTCAACTAATTTTCAGTGTTTAACTGCGTTTTGCAGTAAGACTCTTATAACTCCATCTATCATTGATCCAAACTGGAGAAACTGTCGACTGATTTAAAATCTGCCCTTCCCTCTACAGACTGTAGTGAAGCCCTGGATCCACCCTGCCCCAAAAGTAACTTCCTTTGGTTGTGTCGCTCTTACACTTTGTAAATTACAGTCTCTGTTTTTTGGCAATTGCTGTCCTTCACCAGTATGCACTTCCTCTGAATCTTTATGCGCTCCCAGATGCATACTGTGAGCCACCCACTGGGGTTTTCTGTAAGAACTACATCCCACTGACATTAAGCACCCACTGGACAAACTGAGCATCTTTTTGTCTGTTTTCTAGATCCAAAGCATGGGAAGAGTTCTGTTGTTTCCAGCCTCGATTGCCTCTCAAGCATTGTGGAGAGGATTTCCACGGATAACTCCACATGTCCTGTACTGCCTCCAGCGGAAACTGTTGCTGAGGGGAGTCCCTGTTCCCCCCCTGAAGGAGCGAGTCTGAATGACAGCGCAGCCCAAATTCCTTCCCCCACCAACTGCACCCCACTTCCCCAGGACAGCAGCAGCAGCAGCAACCCCATCTACCAAGTGTTATAAAGGCAGCTCCAGCTGGACTGCACTGAAAACCAGCTGCTCCATTCAGCCACGCTCCAAGACCTGCCTTTTAAGACTGAAAAGACTTCTCAAGACTTGTTCCAGTTTAAAAATATCACTCAAAATTCCTTCAAACATATAACTTTTCAAACCTGTATTACTTCAAAACACACCTAGTTATTTATTGGTTGTTAAACTAAAGTTATTTAATATGTCTAGAGATAAAATTGCGTACCATGAAACGGCCAATGTTTAATCTGGGCTTTGGGGAATAGGATCCTGGCTCTTGAATATGGGGGAGGATACAAATCTACAACAGCAGAGGCATGATAGATCCTTCCTATTACTCCTGTTCTGGCCAAAATAAGGTTGCGGACCATTTTTTATAAAACTTTTTGTATAATTGTAAATAAGAGCTGCTTTGCAAAAAAAAAAAAAAAAAGGAAAAAAGGAAAAAAAAGATGAAAAGGAAAAAAAGGCAAAAATTAATCACAAAAAGGGGAAAAAATAAAAAAATATTTAATATTGCTTGGTTTGTTGTGTCAAACTTTAACTTTATATATTTATACGATGTGGTTGCCAAGAATGTTTTCAACAGTATTCTAAATAAAGACCCTTATTTATAAAATCCGTGGCGTTGTCTTGACTTTCACTAGGGCTTCTAGAATTACTGGTACCTTCAGGAGCGGTATTAAGATCGCTGCCTTGGCAGGAAGAAGATACAGGTTCTGATTCAGCAAAGAAACCAAGAACATGCTTCAGCTGCAGTACTTTCAACTACTTTGCGTAAATGCACTGCTGAAGAGGCGTCTACTTTCTTCATGTTGTATCTGGGTGATGTCTAAACCTTGCAGAGCAGAGGTCACTATTAAAGACATCTGTAAGGTAAATAAACATTCCTCTTCCTCCCCCAAGGCTTACAATTACACTATAGGACTTGATCTCACAAGGATCTGTTAGAACTGGGAATCACAATAAATTGCAACCTCCGAATTCCAGTGCAGCTACTGTAACTTCCAAGCTGTACAACAGCTTCTCACAAGACCAGGTACTACATTCTTGGAGAAATGCTCATTTTTTTCATCCAAGTTCTATTTTTCAAGTGTTTGTACCACATTCACATATTCTCAGGTGTTAAAAAATAATTGCAGATGATTTTTTATCATAAAGTTCAAGGTATAGATCACAGTTTTCCTTAACTTCATGTTGGAATTTAGGCCAAAGATAGGCAGATTTAATTTGGATTTGAACTTTACACATCCCTGGCAGCGCTACTCCGGGGATTTACTTCTTGTTTAGAGCCTCTCTAAAAATAGCCCATGGGCTCTGTTTCATTCAGGATATATGTGTAACCTTGCAAGCTTGCCACAAAACTGAAAATGTTCAGCCCTGAGCAGGTTGTCATTGGTAAGTAACCATCAGGGCGTTTCTGTACACTTGGACAAGAATAACCAGCAGCTACAGCCAAAGTGAAACATCCCATTTCTTGTCATAGCCCTGTGATTTATGGATTTTGTTTAAGCATCACAGTAAAAAAAACCAAACCAAACCAAAAACAAAACAACAAACACCCCCAAACCCAACCCAGACGTTGTCATCAGCTCTAAATACTTGGATGACAGATCAATCATCCTGTTCTCTCTTAGGTGACTATTAAAGAGGGAATCTGTGCAGCTCTTACCTCTTAAGCAGGGAAAAGAAAGAGAGAACAGCTAATTCCATGGGAATGTCTCCCACTCCACTAGTCGGAGGGGCCCTGAAGATCAATGCTCTCTGAGGAGGAGAGGCATGAGCAGCCTTGTGCCCAGTGGAGCAACGCACACACTTCTCCTTCCTGCTGGGGCAGAGGCGTGCTCCCAGCCTGCTGCCTCAGCCTACGCCAGAGGGGCAGGGAAGGCAGCAGCCATGGGGATTCCTTCCTTCCTTCTTCCTTCCTCATCCATGTGCTTGTCACCATGCTGGATGATAAATTGGCGTCGAGCCACAGGACCACCCTGTGGAGCACGCCAAGCTCCCACAGACTGTAGGGGACCTCGAGGCAGGGCTGGCCCCTCAATGCCTTCATCAAAGTCCAACTTCATAAAGGTCTCCCATCGATTTCACTGTGGGCAGAAAACACTTCAGTCCATAAAGGTTGATCCTATTCCTTTAATTTTTCCATTACATACAAAAACTAAATTAACTTGAAAATGCGCTAATTCACACTAGCATGAATTGGCAGGGTCTCTACTACGGTCAGAAAAATGCCCCGGGTTAGTCTGGCGCCAATATCACTGATTTATAAAAACTGAAGAGAGACAGTTAGAGCCTCACAAATCAATGCCTCGCACACCACCAACAACATTTTCACTGCCTCCAGCAAACACTCGATCAGAACCACAGTGCACAAGATCAAAAGATGCTTTTGTGGAACACTGTCGATCTTGCCAACCCCCTACTCTGAGACAGCTAAAAGTGCCAGTTTTACTGTCATGTGAATGGCAACCAGGAAATATTTTGCCTGTTTGGGTACTACAGAGGCTCTATACATCCTGGCAGCACAAAGCTCACGCCTGCCTCACTGCAGCACCCCACTTCTGCGGGGCAGTTGGGCATCCCTGGCTGTAAAGCTGGCATGGCAGAGTGGACACGGGGTGCTCGTGCCCAACAATGTACATGCAGTTCCATGTGAAGTCATATATATTACATTTCACTGATTTATTTTAGCAACCCAAGTTTCCACATACTGATGTTAATGTTACAACAGAGAACAAGCATTTAGCACATCCCAAAATAGATGGATGGATGAAGAAGAAAAAAATATTCAAAGGTTTCCTATGCAGAGTCCATCTTTTTCCCATTGCTGTCAGTGAGAAAAGTCCACTGGAGTAAGGCCAAAGGGTGTCAATGCTGATAAACACGTTTAGGTTACAGCTACATCTGTTTTTGAACTTAAATAAGGAAAATGTGTTCCCTGTGCAATTTCTCCCTGTCTATTTCTAAGGTAATATATTCAAAACAAATGCCTGAAGTGACTCTGGTCTCCTGCACATCAAGAGGAGGGCGTATTACTGAGGGAAGTACATCCCAGTTTATGTGCAAACATTTTGAAGCTGAAAATATTTGGATTCAGAGCTGTAGTTCCTAGAGTGGCAGGGAACATAAGCAGAGCTGAGGAACAAAATTGATTCAACATTTATAAACCTCTGTTCTTAACTCTGGCTCCTGAAGGTGTATTTAGGCATTGTGGGCCAATCCTATAAGACAAACTGCAGCCCAGCTTGGTCTAGAGAAACACTCCAGAATGGGCTAAAAACATCCACCAATAGCATGAAAACGTCGGTTTACACTACATGGGTTCCACTTCAATGTTCTGCAGGATGGGCCACCTAAAGAAACACCACCTGATTTAAAAAAAATCTGAATCCTGCAGATTTCACTGACCTGCAGAGGCTGGGGGAAGCTGGGGGTGACTGCAAGCCAGCCTGACCCTCTCCCCCAGCTGCCCCAGCAGGGCAGCACGCAGCCTGCCTCAGCAGGGTTCAGAGCTTTCCTCTACAGGCACCTGTACTGGCTGGAGTCTGTGGAAAACTGCCTCCGAGAGAAGTCACACAGCTACACAGAATTACAGGAGAGGAGCTGCTGTGTACCTTACGAGTATTTGATAACTTAAAAAAGCCCTACTGGGGCTGCATGACAAAACCATTATTATTGGTTTATCTTATTCAAACCACTGCTATGGAAAAAGTGAAGAGGAATAAATTTATACCTCGCTTACAAGTGCGCTTTGATTTTAAATTTCATGAGGTCATTTCCAAATATGAGATGAAGAGGATTCTCTTTCTACTTCCAATATTTCACAACAAAAAAAAATTAAATTAAGTTTCTGATATGTAAAAACAACAAAGTTATACACCATTTCCCACATTGCCATTGAAGCTGCTACAGAAACTTTTCACATACTGAAAATTCAATTTTAAGTAAAAGAAAGCTATGAACTGTTCCTGGTATATTTTTTTTCCTTTTCAAATATTTCATCAGCTGTATCCAAAAATATTAAAGAAATATTTCTATCACAACACCTTTGGTGTGCTGAGCCCCTGAGCACAACTGCACTGCACAAGCTGGTGGCTTTACTTCCTGCTCACCTCATCTTGAAAGCACAAGCCAGACACTAGCCCCATAATAATGCTGAAGTCTACAACATTTCCAAAATGAGTGGCTGGCATGAGCCCCTGAAAGCAGGAGATGGTAGGAAGGTCATTCTGTATAACCAGCACATGGCAGTCTTGGCTTCACCAGCAGCAGGTAGGACAGTCCCTGTACAGCCAGAGTGCCAATCTTGGACAGCACAATCTGCATTCAGCATGGGGCAGAGTGTGGGATGGAAATGACAGGCCCACATGCCTCATGCCCCAGAAACCATCTCATGAGGCATACCTGAGCACCTCATTAAGTGCAATTTATTAGTGCTCCTCAGCTCACCCTCCCTCAGCCTGTCACCACTCGTTTTCCACTAAAACTGTCAAACAGTCATGACTTTCTCCCCTTGATCTATGCAGCACACTTCCTTCTCAAAAGGTTTGCTACACAACTGGGAATGTCATTAAGTGGAGACCAATGGCTCTCCTTTCAGTATTTGAGATTTCAGACCTAATGAGGGATAGTATGGTCCCTAGTGTCATACAGAAGAGCCTCTAGATACTCCTTTCCCAACCAGCTCTCACCAGGAATTGGGAACATGTCTTGCATAAAGCTACCCAGACCAGTAGAAGTAACCCAGAAATTTCCCTGTGGAACCAGAAATCTACCTTTCATAAACACAGGCACTTCTGAAGAAAGACCTTAATGCTGCAAGTTTAACAGTGAAAACTGACCTATCCCGTAACCACAGAGTGACAGAACACCTCAGGGGTTTCCCAGTAACACAGCCAGCATGGCATGAACTCACATCTTCTTTCCAAAACATCAATAACTTTCATCTTTTACGTGCAGCTCAGCAACATCAACAGGTGTACTATTTTGTGTAAGACTCAGTGAATAACCCCCATTCATCAACAGGGAGGCAAATACTGCATATGAAGTGCAGCTTTCCACTATTGATAAAAAAAAATTATAAAGAACTCTGACAGACCATAACTGACTCCATCAGAAAATTGAGGCTGGTTGTGACTGTGATTGTGGTGGTGGTTTTTTGCTTGGAGCCAGATCCACTCAGAGGTCTCTGTCTCAGCACAGTCACTTAGTGTTGCATGTCCATGGCTGTAAAAGGGGGTCTCTCAAGCTAAAGGGACCAGATCTGGAGATGCTGGATAAAATCCTGGAACTGTTGAAATCCTCTGAAATACGGCCCTCCCTAACCCAAGCTGAACTGACTGCAAGCTGTTTTTTGGTCCAGGAGCAACATCTGCTGGATAGGACACAAACTGCATTTCTTTCTGAAACTGTCTCAGAGATTTCAATGTTCTG